TGATCTGCCCGCCTTGGCCTCCCAAAGTACTGAGATTATAGGCATGTGCCACGGAGCCTTGGCCTTTTTTTTTTTTTTTTTGTAAATTTGATTTTTTTTTTTTTTTTGAGATGGATTCTTGCTCTGTTGTTCAGGATGGAGTGCAGTAGTGTAATCTCAGTTCACTGCAACCTCCACCTTTTGGGTTCAAGTGGTTCTCCAGCCTCAGCCTCCTGAGTAGCTGGGATAGATGTGTGCCACCATGCCCAGCTAATTTTTGTAATTTTAGTGGAGACGGGGGTTTCACCATGTTGGCCAGGCTGGTCTCAAATTCCTGACCTCAAGTGATCTGGCCGCTTTGGCCTCCCAACGTGCTGAGATTACAGGCGTGAGGCACCGCACCTGGCCTCCACCCATTAATTCTTTCACCAGATATGCTATAATAGGCCATTCATCCTTTTATTCACAAGGTACACTAACAGTCTCAGTGGGTGCTACAAAGGTTGAGAAGACATGGACTTTATATTCTAGTAGAAATGTATTAGAATTCCTTTGGACACACTTTTACAAAGACCAACTCAAATGTATTGGCTCACTAGAATCGCATGGGGTCAGGAAAGTGCATTTCTCCAAGAAATAAAAGGATGCTGGTCAGACAAAGCAACTGATGTTCAATAAAGAGAATGCACACTCAAATAGTTTGTTGAGAACTAGGTTATTTTTAGACAGATCATCCAGATTAACATGCTGATTCAAATTGATTCTTCTTTTAAGAACAGAAAGTAAGGCCAGGTGTGGTGGCTCACGCCTGTAACCCCTGCACTTTGGGAGGCCAAGGTGGGCAAATCACCTGAAGTCAGGAGTTTGAAACCAGCCTGACCAACACGGTGAAACCCCGTCGCTACTAAAAATACAAAAATTAGCCAGGTGTGGTGGCGCATGCCTATAGTCCCAGCTACCCGGGAGGCTGAGGCAGAAGACTTTCTTTAACCTGGGAGGTGGAGGTTGCAGTGAGCCAAGATCATGCCGCTGCACTCCAGCCTGGGTGACAGAGTGAGACTCTGTCTGAAAAAAAAAAAAAAAAATAGAATGTATCACATTATCTGAACTTCTTCTTAATCTTCCAAACCTATTTTTCCCTGAAATCATGAAACAAATTTTCCTTTGGCATTCAAAAATTTCTTATAAACACAAGGTTGTAAAGTAGATATATTTTATGATGGTATGTAGTAGTAAGTGGAGATGGGTCATACACGTTTGGATTAACTCAAAAATAAAAAGACAAAAGCAGGAGTGTTAAAATTAGAATATAAAAGTGAAAGTAGAAAAGAACAGTGGAAATCCAACAAAAGCGGAAGGAAAGCAAAGTAATCAAGCAGCAATCTCAGAAAAGCAATCTGTCATACTGAGTTTGGGCAGTTGCATGGGAAGCCTTTGCCAAGCCAACAAGGAAGGAGGAAACTAACATTTGAATAGCTATCATGTCCAAAATGTTTCATTAGATACTTTCATTCAGACCACTTAACACAGAGTAATTGTTACTTCCAATCTGAAGATACAGAACTCCCAAATAAGAAAGATTATTTAGCTCACTCCAAGTCCATTTGAGCTGAAGTTTATCTGAAGCCAAAGTCCATTCTCTTTCCATTACCAAGCTGCCTTGCAGGAAGTAACAGGCTATTTCAACAAAGGCCTATTTCATTGCTGAAGGGAAAAATTACCAAATGGCCACTGAAAGAACCCAAGGATTTAAATGAAGAACTTATCTACCAGCAGTTCTGGTGTGAAACTGTACAATAAAAATGAACTTATGTTGTTAAAGAACTTAAGTGGTTAGTACCCTGTAATCCCCTTGCCGATTTTGAGAATTAATCATTTCTGTCCACTTTCCTCCTCCTTCACAATTTCTGTTTCCAGACCATGTGGAGCTCATCCCATTTCAGTTTTTGCATATGTTACTCTTTCTGCTTGAAACACTTTTCCTCTCCAGATGGCATCAAGGGTGCTCCTGCTCAACACCAAAGATTTACTTTACTTAAATGTCACCTCTACAAAGTCACCTGTTCCTGCAACTACCCCTATTAAGATAGCATTCCTATTCTCAGAGAGCACTTACCATTGTGTGAAATTGTTCTATTTGTTTAGGGTTTTTTTGTCTTTCCAAAAAGAATGTAAATTCCTTGAGAGAAAGGATCTTGTCTACCCTGTTTCTCCAGCACTTAAATTATTCTTGGACAGAGTAGGCCCTCTTCAAGTATTTATTGAGTACATGGATTGCAAGTGGTACAAAGTGAGACTAAAATGTATCACTGGTAGAAATAACGTGTGAGAAGCTACCAAAGAAGCCAAAGAGAGACTGTGTAGGAGTTACAGTGCCTACCACCTCTAAAGTAAAAGGAAACAAAATAATAATATGCAAACACTTAAATAGTGCTTACTCCATGCCAGGCACCGTTCTAAACATTTTATGTATCTATTTACTCATTTTATTCCTCATAATAAGTAGGTTTCTCACTCCCCGCCGCCCTCTTTTTTTTTTTTTTTTTTTTTTTTTTACAGGTGAGTAATGTGAAGCACACAGGTTAATTTGCCCAGGGTTATAGTAGTTAACGACAGACTTAAAATTTGAACCCTGGCAGTGAACACTTTTTAAAAGTACTATTTGATACTGCCTCTCCAAAAAAGCTGATTGGTTGGCAGCATGGCCCAGCTAAGGTTTCTCTGTGACCATAAAAATAAGTCTATCGACTTAAAATAACTGGAGAGGGGATGAGAAATAAACGGTACATTTAGTTTCAGCCCACAGAAGTAGTAACATCATTGGTTATTACGTGCGAAAGTTCTCCATTCTCATCAACTTCTCAGATCCCACAAAATTTCACCTTTGGCCACAAAAACATCCCATTTCACCATCTTAACTTTCTCCCGCAACCCTTATGCCGCCTCATTCCAGTGTTTGTTCATTTAATATGCTCCAAATCCTGCATCTGCGGCTTTCTAGGGGCCAATGTCAACTCATCTGTGAAATTGCAGTAGTATCTCTCTAGTCTCCACCTCGCAAGAGGACTGAGAGAACGGTGAAGTGTGAGAGCGGTCTACTGATATTAATTTCTACCACTCTGATGGTTATTTTGAGTATCCTTTTCTCCTCCGCATTTTATGAGAAAAGAAACGCAATTTCACGTTCAGAAACGCCCTCCCTAAGCCGCACTGGCTTCTTGCTGACCGCTGGCCCGCCCCAATCACGCTTTGAGTCTGCGCAGTAGCGACTGCCCAAGCCCTTGCCTATTTCCTGCCGCCGCGTTTTGATGACGAAATTTTCCTGCGCCTCGGGACCGGCAGCGGCGCGTAAGGAAAAGTCAGTTTCCGTTTTTCCCGCGGATTCTGGTGCCTGTGGGGCCGGTGACCCAACACCATGAAGGAAACGCCACTCTCAAACTGCGAACGCCGCTTCCTACTCCGTGCCATCGAAGAAAAGAAGGTATGGTTTGGTCCCCGCAGAATTGCGCGCTGCATGGGCGCCCGGGTCTCAAGGTGTGGACTCATACCTGGCCCGCCTGGGCCGGGGGAGCCATTAGGGGAACGACCGGCACGTTCACCCCATTCCCCAGGCTTTATTTTTTTTCGACAGGTTCTTTTCAAGTCTCTAGTCACCCCAGCAGTTGTCCGTGCTGTAGTTTCCACTTTCCTGTATGGGCGGGGTGGTTAGGATTCCACTTTCCCCCAAGTGCTTAGCCCAGGGCCAGACAAAAAGTAGTTGCTTAAGACATACTTGTTGAAGGAATAAATGAATGAATGAATTTGTGCTTAACAGCGGCTGGATGGCAGACAAACCTATGATTATAGGAACATCAGGATCTCATTTGGAACAGATTACGGATGCTGCATTGTGGAACTTGGCAAAACAAGGTAACAGGATTTAAATGAGATAACACATTGAAAAGGGAGAAGTTTGAAAAAAGACCTTATTGACTCGGTTGTTTGTAAAGCAGCTAAGAAGTCTGCACAGTATTCTTTGTTTAGCTGACAAAAATAAGTATTTTTTGTGCAAGATTTTTTGATTTTGTGGTCACACTTGAACTTTTTAATCATAAACGTATTTTCTGTCACCTATCACATAGTTCTGACTTCTGTAAATCGTGTAGACAACCAGTAGTGCTCATATCGAATTTGTTTCTCACACCAATATAGAGATCTTGAGCATCTTGTCATTAAGTGTACATCCTGATTTCCTGTTTTTCGAGTGACATGAAAGTTAGGTTTTCAAATATTCATTTGAAAGTTGTAAGGCTATTTGGTCAGTTAATGGTGGTGAACTATGGCATGTGAAAACACTTAAATCTCAAGTTTTCATGCCATCTTGTATCAATAAATACTTGCTTTAGAGGTAAAGGTCATTGATTTTTTAGAACAATCTGTGGAATAGTAAACATTGTAATAAGAGAGGTGCTTTTTCTGTCGTGTTTTTAGTTGCACCAATTTATGTTTTATTTCTGTGTATATTATACTTTACATATATTTTTTACTTCCTATGATTTATCTGGCTGACTATGATATTACTCACATTAAGATTGAAACTTGTGATCTGTTTCAGATTTTTTTTTTTGGAAGGAGAGTCAATTTAGTTAATACTTTGTACTTTATCTTTGCAGAGTTCTTGGACAGGTTTCCTGTGAACTTGTGTCTCCAAAACTCAATAGGGCAACAGAAGGTATTCTTTTTTTTAACCTTGAACTCTCTCAGATGGCTGCTCCAGCTTTCGAACCTGGCAGGTATTTAAATCTTTTTCTTAAGCTGCTTTAGTCATAGGAGAACCTAACAGCAATGAGCTTTTGTTTTAATACCTGGTGTTATATTTCATGACAGTAGCCCATTCCTATTTTCTTATTATAGGCAGTCAGATCTCTTGGTGAAGTTGAATCGACTCTTGGAAAGATGTCTAAGAAATTCGAAGTGTATAGACACTGAATCTCTCTGTGTTGTTGCTGGTGAAAAGGTGGGGAATATGCCCATAATTCTTAATCTTAGGATGAATACTGTTGATTCATGGATCCCGGTGTCTGAGCTTTTATTCTCAGAACTTTAGTCAACTCAAGTTTTGTACTGATTCACTTCACTTCAGATGTTCTTGAGTGATACCCTTAGAACTTTGTGCCACCTCTATCTCTCTGAAGGGATAAAAAGCATTATCCTAAAAGGGTGAAAATAGCAACTTAGATTTTTGTGTAAAAATATTTTATTCAAACAATTTGTGGCTTTTTCATATAATCTCATTTTCTTATCTGCATGTGTTCATAGAAGCAGGTAGTTTTCCTTTTTCATGCAGAACTCAAGAACAGAAGAAATCCTTCATTTGGATAGGTTTATCGATTTACACAGGGCCACACCATGTCAGTGGCAGGGATAATTTTGAAAATCTTAGTCCCAATAAATTGTGCTGCATTAGGATATTAGAATTTTATTCTTTTTTTTGAGACAGAGTCTCACTCTGTTGCCCAGGCTGGAGTGCAGTGGTATAATCTCAGCTCACTGCATCCTCTGCCTCCCCTGTTCAAGCAATTCTCCCACTCAGCTTTCTGAGCAGCTGGAACTACAGGCGCCTGCCACCACGCCCGGCTAATTTTTGTATTTTTAGTAGAGATGGGGTTTCACCATCAGACTGGTCTTGAACTCCAGACCTCAAGTGATCCACCTACCTTGGCCTCCCAAAGTGCTGGGATTATAGGCGTGAGCTACTGTGCCTGGCCAGAATTTGATTCTTGATTAGGGTATTTTGACAAGCATTTTTATTCCAGAGAAGTCATTTAGCTTTCCATATTCCATACCTAAGTATAATACTTCCTATTTGCATTACTTGTAAGGTTATTAAAAATATCACAAAACCTAAAAGGTTAACGTTTTTTAATTTTTGAAAATATTCATTATTTTCAGTTAGGGACAGTGACACTTTCGTCCAGGCAGGAGTGCAGTGGTGTTATTATAGCTCACTGTAACCTTAAACTCCTGGGCTCAAGGGATCCTCTCTCCTTAGCCTCCCGAATAGCTAGGACTACAGGCGCATGCCACTCCACCCAGCTAACTAAAAAACTTTTTTTTCGTAGAGATAGGGTCTTGCTGTGTTGCCCAGGCTGGTCTCGAACTCCTAGGCTCAAGCAATTCTCCCATCTTCGCCTCCCAAAGTGCTGGGATTACAGGTGAATGCCACTGTGCCTGACCTAGAGTTTGTGGTTTTTAACAGACATGATAAAAATGTAATTAGATTTGAGGTTAGGAAAATCTTAGTATTAAACATTAGAGTAGTTCTGTCTATTTAAAGTATGTGTTCTATGATTAAACGACTCACATAGTATTTCAGATGTTTGGCTTAAATTTTCTAAAATACATTTTTTGTTAACAAACTAGAAGGAGTAACTGCATGTTTTAACAGCAAGAAAAATTACTTTGTGCACAATGTTACTTTTCTTGATAAATAGCCACTGGTTGTAATCAGGATTTATTTTATTTTAAATTCACTATCAGGTTTGGCAAATACGTGTAGACCTACATTTATTAAATCATGATGGAAATATTATTGATGCTGCCAGCATTGCTGCAATCGTGGCTTTATGTCACTTCCGAAGACCTGATGTCTCTGTCCAAGGAGATGAAGTAACACTGGTAAGCTCTTATGTGAACCAGGATCCTTGATACGAATGAATGAGGAGGGTCCTAAATGTGCAGGAAACTTGTTTTTAGTGAAGTTATGTTGTAGATGGCAATTGGGTAGGTTCTAAAAATTTGTTCATAAGACTAAAACTGCATATGGTCAAAATTGCCCTTGAAATCTCTTAACAGTTCCTCTATTGAAACATTTGTCAGTAAGAACATACTGTAGCGTGGTTTTCCAGAATAGAATTAGATGACTATTTTGGATTGAGCATTAGATGAAGTGTTTGACTTATGTTTAAGGGCCATATGTGTGAAAAATAAATGAATCTCAGCACAGTGAGATGCTTACCCTGCAAGAGGTATGCAATAGCTGAAAAGCACTGAGGAATCAGCAGATTCATATTTGTCTCCAGGACGTTTGTTCATTAGGCAAAGAGCTGATGAAAGTCCATCAGAAATACCCGGAGGGCTTGTTAAAACATATTGCTAAACTCTACTCCCAAAGTGAAACAGGGCTACGACTTAAGAATTTGTACTTCTAACTTTGAGTTCTTAGGTAATACTGATGTTGCTGGTCCAGGGAGCACATTTTGAAAACCATTGACCTACATTTTCTTTATCTTTTGTTCTGAGTATGTCAGTTTTAATTTATATAAATTACATGCTAGAATAATGAAAGTGCACCGTAGTTGTAGTTTGAATCCTGAAGTTGCAAAAGGACACATCAGATGCCCAGATTTTCTAAACAATGATTCATAATTTTGCTTTTGGGCAGTAGACTGGAGCAGAACCGTTAAAAAGTGAGAAGTAGGGACAAAGGTTTATTAACAGTAGAGGTAATATTCTTTTAGAGGAGAGAGTTTATATAAGGAAGTGAAAAAAAAGTAGAAAGCGATTACTACACTTGAAAGATCAATTAAAGAATACTGTGGTGTTATTGCTAGTGGGAATGTAAAATGGTACAGCCATGTTGGAAAAGTTTGGCAGCTTTCTTAAGTTTTAAGTGTAGACAACATTCTATATTCAGAAAAATAACATTAGAAGGAAATACTCTTTTTTTTTTTTTTTCCAGACAGGGTCTCTGTTGTCCAGGCTGGGGTGCAGTGGCATGATCTCGGCTCACTGTACCCTCTGCCTCTTGAACTTAAGCAATCCTCCCACCTCAGTCTCTTGAGTAGCGGGGACTACAGGTGTGTGCCACCCGCTTGACTAATTTTTGTGTTTTTTGTAGAGATATGGTTTCACCAAATTGCCCAGGCTGGTCTTGAACTCCTGGGCTCAAGTGATTCTCCCACCTCGGCCTCTCAAAGGGTTGGGATTACAGGCGTGAGCCACCATGGCCAGCTGAAAATACTCCTCTCTTATATGTACATCTTTCAGCAGATTTGACCTTGTAATTTTTTTTTTTTTGAGACAAGAGTTTCACTCTTGTTGCCCAGGCTGGAGTACAATGATGTGATCTCAGCCCACTGCAACATCTGCCTCCCGGGTTCAAGCGGTTTTCCTGCCTCAGCCTCCCAAGTAGCTGGAACTACAGGCATGCACAACCACGCCTGGCTAATTTTGTATTTTTAGTAGAGACAGGGTGTCTCCGTGTTGGTCAGGCTGGTCTCAAAGTCCCAACCTCGCCTGCATCGGCCTTCCGAAGTGCTGGGATTACAGATGTGAGCCACCGCCCCCGGCCGACTTTATAATATTAATACAAATTGCAATGGCTTAAAATTGGAAAAAAAAAATTCTAGCAATTCCATGCCTGAGAATCTACAGGAGGAATAAGAGCTTATTGTGTTCAGAGACTTGAATGCAAATATTCATAGCATCATGTATTTGCCAGAAACTGGAAACAATTCGAATGTTCAGCTGGTGAGTAGATAAATAAAATGTCATATATACAAATAATGAAATACTGTTAGTAATGAAAAGAACTGAGCTACTGACAAATGCTGCAAGGTGCATGAAGCATGCTGAGTTGAAAGAAGCCAGGCGCAAAACATTACAATTTTTTTTTCCATTTATATAGAATGCTCAGAAAGTCAGATTTACAGAGACAGAAATAAGATAGATCAGTGGTTCCTTGGGGCTAGGGTGGGAGTACACCAGACTCCTATGGACTACAGACAGATTCAAAGGAATTTTGGGGAGTAATGGAAATGTTAAAAAACTAGATTGTGGTGATGAGTCCATAAATATATCCATAACTATACATTTACTAAAAATTGAATCATATACTTAAAATGAGTGGGTTTTGGCTGGGCGCGGTGGCTCACACCTGTAATGCCAGCACTTTGAGTGGCCGAGGCAGGTGGATCACCTGAGGTCGGGAGTTTAAGACCAGCCTGACCAATGTGGAGAAACCCCGTCTCTACTAAAAATACAAAATTAGCCTGGCATGGTGGCACATGCCTGTAATCCCAGCTACTCGGGAGGCTGAGACACGAGAATCGCTTGAACCCGGGAGGGGCAGGTTGCGGTGAGCTGAGATTGTACCACTGCACTCCAGCCTGGGCAACAAACTTCGTCTCAAAAAAAAAGTGGATTTTATGGGATGTAAATTATATGTATGTCAGTAAATTTTTGAAAAAGGTTTTTGAAAAAGTTGTACAGTTTGAGGAACATGAGTGGCAAAATCAAACAGGTAATTGTTAATATAAAAGAAGTTATTTGGGTAGTCAAAGGAATAAAGGAACTTCATTTTTATTTTAGTATTTGATGTGCAAGATGTTTTTTTGTATGTTCATAACTTAGTGACTATAATTATTAAACATTTTCTTTTGAAACAGTATACACCTGAAGAGCGTGATCCTGTACCATTAAGTATCCACCACATGCCCATTTGTGTCAGTTTTGCCTTTTTCCAGCAAGGGTAAGCCTCGCCTTGTTATGGGCCAAAATTACAAATGCAGCTAGGAATTTTACTGTTCTACTCAAGTATGTCATGTTAATATTAAATACTTCCCTTAATATTAAAACACCTTATAGTTCCTTTCTTTCTTTGTAAGGGCATTAGTTGGCAAAGAGCTTTCTCAATAGAAGTAACAAAACTTTTATACTATGATGAAGATACTTCTCAACGTTTTTCTTTTCATGGCATACTTATAAACTTAGGAGTTTACTATGGCATGGTAGTGTTTTATGTTTCCTAAGGATGTACAGGGGTTAAGAGAATTACATGCTAGGCTCTAATTTGGGAAAGTGGGATGACAATTACTGTGGGTTATTGGAAGACGGGGGACTTTGGAGCATATTAGATGGAGTAGTTCTAGGAGTCAGTTACAAGACGGGATGGTTCACAAACTGGAGGAAAAAAATCTAATGTTATTCAGTTTTCCAGAGTTTACTTAACTGCTAAATCCTTCTGTGGCTGAAAACTTGGAGTTTTTCAGGTCCATTTAATGGTACTTTCAAATGAAAACTTGAGCCTTAAATTCTTTTAGAAACAAGGGAAGATAAAAATATTTCACACAGTGTTGTGTACAAGGACTAGAGAAAAACTTTCAAGTTTTAGTGATTGTAAGTGTAGAGTTTCATCAGAGGAAAATGGGCCAGCATTGTCCAGTAGAAATAAAATGTGAACCCTATATATAATTTTCTTATTTTCCTTTTTTTTTTTTTTTTTTTTTGAGATGAGGTCTGGCTTTGTTGCCTAAGCTGGAGTATAGCAGTGCGATTTTTGCTCACTACAACCTCTGCTTTCTGGGCTCAAGCAATTCTTCAGCCTCAGCCTTCTGAGTAGTTGAGACTACAGGCGTGCACCACCATGCCTAGCTAATTTTTGTGTTTTTTGTGAAAAAGAGGTTTTGCCATATTGCCCAGACTGGTCTGGAACTCCTGAGCTCAAAAGTGATCTGACTACCTCAGCCTCCCAAAATGCTGGATTACAGGGATGAGCCACCATGCCTGGCTGTTTCTTTTTCTTTTTTTTTTTCTTTTTTTTAAGACAAGGTCTCCCTCTGTCACCCAGGCTTGAGTGCAGTGGCGAGATCGTGGCTTATTGCAGCCTCAACCTCTCAGGCTCAAGTGATTCTCCTGCCTCAGACTCCTGAGTAGCTGGGACCACAGGTGCACATCATGCCCAGCTTATTTATTTTTTGTCGAGATGGGATTTCACTGTGTTGCCCAGGATGGTCTGAAGCTCCTGGGCTCAAGTGATCCGCCCATGTCCACCTCCCGAAGTGCTGGGATTATAGGCTTGAGCCACCATGTGCAGTCTTTGTTACTTTTTAATTTTTTTTTTATTTTTTTGCGACAGGGTCTCACTGTCACCCAGGCTGGAGTGCAGTGGTGTGATCATAGCTCACTGCAGCCTCCCAACTTCTGAACTCAAGTGATCCTCCCACCTCAGCCTTCCAAGTAGCTGGGACTATAGGTGTGTGGCATACCCAGCTAATTAAAAAATAATTTTTTTTTTTGTAGAGACAGAGTCTCACCTTGTTGCCCAGGCTGGTCCCAAACTCATGAGCTCAAGTGATCCTGCAGTCTTGACCTCCCCAAGTGCTGGGCTTACAAGCATGAGCCATCATGCCTGGCCTCATATATGTAATTCAAAATTTTTAATGTGACTACTTATATTTTAAGTAGTTATATTTTTAGTAGTCACATTAAAAAGGTAAAATTAATTTTTATATATTTTAATGAATATATTTTCATTTTAATGAAATAAAATGAAATAATCAGTATTTTAGTAATTAGTCATGAGATAGTCTACATTCTTTTATTTCCACTAAGTCTACATTCTTTTATTTCCACTAAGTCTCTGAAATCCAATATTTTACATACTCTGATTACATTTCAAGGACTCAGTAACCACAGGTGACTGTTGATGAGTGTACCGGACAGTGCAGAAATAGACAGTATTTTTTTTCATGAGCCATTAGCAGAACACAGTAGAACTTTGGAGTATAGGACATTAGGGCAACTTTAGGGTTAGCCAAATTAACATTATCTAAATTTTTATTAATGAGCCAGAAGTCATTTAATCAAAGAGATAGCATTATGTTTAGATGATCATTTAAGTAAATCCAATCTGAATTTAATGTGATTTCATTGTAATAACTAGAGATACCCACTTAGCATTCATTTGTGTTCATAAACACAATAATTTTCTTGTCTCTTTCCCCATTTCAGTGACCCAAATCTATAGGCTCAGACCTTTATTCTCTGTTGACTTTATTGATGTCATCTTTTAAAAATTCATTACCCAAGAAATGGTAAGCATTCGGTCTCAGATTTGTTCAGGTCCATTTAACATTCGTTTCAGAACATACTTATTGGTGGATCCCAATGAACGAGAAGAACGTGTGATGGATGGCTTACTGGTGATTGCCATGAACAAACATCGAGAGATTTGTACTATCCAGTCCAGTGGTGGGATAATGCTACTAAAAGATCAAGTTAGTGCTTTGATTAATGTCCCATTAAGAATAGATTGCTTCTCTGTAGATGCTTTTTTTGTCTTTTAACAAAAATCCAATGGGGATACTTCTAGTGATTGATTCTAGGATGTGTTAGGATGTGGTTTCAGTATTGTCACTATTAAATACATTCTGTTGACTGGTGGCTATGAAGTATCCTCCTCCTTCCTACCTTGGTGCTCCCATGTCTGGCCTGCTAGAGTCTGACCCTTCCATCTAGAAGCAGGGTCTAGTGAAGAAAAAGGTTTATATCCCTATTAAAAAAAAAAAGTGGCCGGGCATGGTGGCTCACGCCTGTAATCCCAGCACTTTGGGAGGCCATGGCTGGTGGATCACTTGAGGTCAGGAGTTCAAGACCAGCCTGGCCAACATGGTGAAACCCATCTCTACTAAAAATACAAAATTAGCTGGGCGTGGTGGCTGGCACACACCTGTAATCCCAGCTATTTGGGAGGCTGAGGCAGGAGAATCTCTTGAATATGGGAGGCAGAGGTTGCAGTGAGCTGAGATCGTGCCATTGCACTCCAGTCTGAGCAACAAGAGCCAAATTCCATCTGAAAATATAAATGAATAAATAAATAAATATTAGCCGAGCTTGGTGATGCATGCCTGTGGTCCCGGCCACTTGGGAGGCTGAGGTGGGAAGATTGCTTGAGCCCAAGAGGTGGAGGTTGAGTGAGCTGAGATCGTGCCACTGCATTCCAGCCTGGGCTACAGAATAAGACCCTGTCTCAAGAGCAAATAAAAGTTTTTAAACATCCAATAGTAGAAATTATGTAAAAAGATAGTTTTATTTTTAGGATTTGGGTACAATTGGCAGTAGTTCTGAAACCCAGCTACATATCAGATTCACATGGGAGCTTTTAGAAAATAGATCTCCATATAGCATACAGTGTAGGTGATTAAAAGCTGCTTTAATTTGAATTCTAGTTCTGCCCCCGTACTAGCTGATCTTGGGCAAATGATTTTATATCTTTGGGTCTCACTTTCTTTATCTGTAAAATAAGGAATGATGTTATTGCCAACACCTTGTTGTTATAAGGATATAAAGATAGATATATTGCACAGTGTCTAGTATATACTAAGTGCAATAAATGTTAGTTTCTGGTATCATCATCATCTTTACCAGCATCACAAGTACTACCCAGATTACTCACAAAGAAAGGAAGTTAGTGCATCCTGGAGCATATGTGTCTGTGGTTTCTTCCATGGTATTAGTATTTATACTGTTGTGTAAGAAAGTTTTTGTGTCTGTTCCCATAATGTGATAGTCCTTCACATATCTTAAAACAACTTTCACATCTTGCCTTAATCTGTGTTTACATTGTATTCATGTTTGGAAAAGCCAGGCTTAAATTTATAAAGGTAGAAAAATTAATTTCATGGTTTTAGTTTCGTTAGAGAAAACCATTTGGTTTACCGTCTTTAAACAACATAATTCACTTTTATAAATAGGTTTTGAGATGCAGTAAAATCGCTGGTGTGAAAGTAGCAGAAATTACAGAGCTAATATTGAAAGCTTTGGAGAATGACCAAAAAGTAAGGTAAGTAACTTTTCCAGAACTAAATGGTCTTTTATTTTCATTTTTTAAATATTTACTTTTTTTTTTTTTAGTATAGGCAAACTTTATTATGCATGAACTTGATTTCACAAAGTTAGAATGGCAATTTCACTTAAAATTAACTCATTAAAAAGTGTAAATACCATGGTATAGATATGTTATCCAAAACTCCGAAAGGTAGTGAAACTGGTAACAGATATTTCTACTCATCTTTGGACAGACACAATAAAAGTATTAATGAAACTGGTTTCCAGACAAGTATGTGTCACTTGCTGCTGTGCCTTAGGGAGGAGAGGATGTTATAACACAAGCATTATTGATGCAGTGACTCGTGGATAGTTGCTCCTTATTAACACTGCTAAAATTAGGATCACAGTTTTTACTTTGTGTGGGAGCTGGTGATTCTTGTTTTATGAGGATATCTTTCAGGGTGTTGGCATCAAACCCACTTATTGCAAAATGCATCACAGATGGGAATTTAACGCTGGGTCAAGTCCAGAATTCCAGAACAATGAAGAAGAAAGACCCGCCTAAGAGCGAGAGGTCTTCATTGCTGCAGGCCCCAAGACACAACACAGGGAACAGGAAATGGCCCTAAATGGTCTTTTAATGTATTTTTTCTCTTAAGGATTTTCCTTGAACAAGGGCAACCATATAAATTTCACACTTGATCTTTCCTTATTTGTTAATCGCAATTGAGTGTACTACTTAGTGTGTTTTTAGAAAGTTGATTGGACTTACTATATTTTCTGCAATTTAAATATAACTATTGAAAAATCATGTAAGATTTTTGTTTGTTTTTTGAGATGGAGTCTCACTCTGTCACCTAGGCTATAGTGCATTTGTGCAATCTCGGCTCACTGCAGCATCTGCCTCATGGCTTCAAGTGATTCTCCTGCCTCAGCCTCCCAAATAGCTGAGATTACAGATGCATACCACCATGTCCGGCTAATTTTTGTATTTTTAGTAGGGATGGGGTTTCGCCATGTTGGTCAGGCCAGTCTCAAACTCCTGACCTCAGGTGATCCACCCACCTGGGCCTCCCAAAATATTAGGATTACAGGTATGAACCACCACACCTGGAGACATAAGATTTTTCTTTAACATTTTCTTAGGATAAAAATAATCTAGTAACTCAAATTAATGTAAGGAAACAGGTTGATTCCCATCTCTACTTCTTACTGTGCTATCTTAAGCAAGATATATAACCCAGCATTTCAGTGTCCTCTTCTATAGTATGGGATATTAACACTACCTGGTAGGGCTGATTTGAGGGTTAGAGAATAGTGTATTTTAAGCACCTAGCACATGGTCTGGCACATGGTTTAATAAATGATTATGCTATTGGCTCTTGTTAGGCATAATAAATTGGTGAGGTTAAGTTAGATAAACTAACTCTCTTTCAATATTTTTCATCCACCAAAGGATAAAATAATAGTTTTTTTTCCCTTCCTGTCTTCTGTCTAATCTGTTACCTTCCTCCCGCTTCCTTCCCACCAAAAAACCCCCCACATACAGGAAAGAAGGTGGAAAGTTTGGTTTTGCAGAGTCTATAGCAAATCAAAGGATCACAGCATTTAAAATGGAAAAGGCCCCTATTGATACCTCGGATGTAGAAGAAAAAGCAGAAGAAATCATTGCTGAAGCAGAACCTCCTTCAGAAGTGTATCTTTATTTGGTGGTTTTTGCAGTAACAAGATTCATAACACTTGGCATTATAATATTAGGCTATATGAAGGATGTGTATACTGAAATTAGTTTTTGTAAACACTGTACTTTGTTAGAGAAAACACTTAAAATACAAGATAGTGATGTGAGTCATATTCTGTTGATGGTATAACATTCAGCTTCTCTTCAGTTATCCTGGAAAAACCAGATTGTTTTAAGGACCAATTTAATTTTGTACTGTAACTAAAATGTTGAAGCTGTCTCTTCACATTTCTTATTAATTGCATCCATAAAATCTTGCCTGAGTTATTTTTTCTTCTTCATTGTTCAGCCATCCATAGTGTAGCTATATTAAGTTTTTTTTTTCCCTAGGAACTTGAGGCACACTTGAATCAATCTTACAAGAAGAAAACTTTCATTCTCATCTTTTTCAACAGTCCATCAAATAGCAATATTTTTGTTACTCAGTTTTCTTAACTTGTTAAGTGTTTCTACACCTGTGCTGTGGACTCCTGGAACTGCCCAAATTGGAGAGGGAGTAGAAAACTCCTGGGGTGATCTTGAAGAGTCTGAGAAGGAAGATGATGAAGGCGGTGGTGATGAAGCTATCATTCTTGATAGTATAAAAATGGACACTGGAGTAGAAGTGTCTGATATTGGAAGCCAAGGTAGGTGACACTTTGTGGCACACTTATCACTATATATTACATATATATAGTATTACCGTATAGTTATATATACAATAATGCATAAAATGTGTATATTTATATTATCACTATATATAGTAATATATAGCATATCAGCTATATAGAGATGTATACTAGATAACATACAGGATACTATATAGAGAGAATATAGATATATAGTTAAATATAGGGATATAAGTATTGCATTTTTAGAGGGGCTAAATATTGTGATTTAAATTTCAACTAAATTATCGTGGCTAACTGCAGTACTAACACTACTTTCTAAAAGAATATGCATATCTTTGTAGAGTAGTGGTACACTTTGGCATAAAATGATAGTGACATTTTTAATTAAAAAAAATTTTTTTTTGTAATGTATTTGGGTGGGTTTTAAGGGAATGAGTTTCTGGAAGATCTTATTCCTCCGTGCTGTCTTTTTTTGTGGTTTCTAGACTGAAACAAAAAGCCCATCCTTTATCGGAACATGTAATACTGTCTAAATAAAACTTTCTGGGATAGAAACATTACACTGGTATAGCAGCCACTAGCTCCACGTGGCTATTGAACACTTGAAATGTGGTTTGTATTACTGAGAACTGAATTTTAAATTTTATTTAATACAAAATTAAGCAGCCACATGTGGCTAGTGGCTACCATACTAGACATTGCAGTATTAGAACATAAAAAATTCTAGAAGTGACTAGAATACTGATAGTCCTAGACGTTGCTTGCATTTTGAAAGCCATAGAACTGAAGAAGTTGTTTTTGTGTATGGTTATTTTCACTTAAAAAAAAAAGCAAATTCTTGCTGGTCTATGTAATAGAATAATGACTTATTTTCTTATGTGGTAAGAACAGAAATCCTACAAGGAACTGGGAACTAGGCTGGCAGGGAAAACTGAAGGTGATATGTTTAGTAGGAATGTAAGACAAATACTTCTGTTTTCAAAGAGAGAAATTATGAACACTACTAGAGCCTGAGCTTTTTTTTTTTTACTTAATAGGTAAGGAAAAAATTTCCCATTGATTGGGACCCTTACTCAAATTTCCCAGTGGTTACTTCTATTTGGTATAATTCTTCCAAATACTTGTCCCAGGTATTTATTTACTCTCTGTGCAGTGATGTAAGCTAATGCTGCATAGACTTATGTAGCATTGAATATAACTAGTTGGTTTAACAATTCTCTTATTGTTGAAGATGTAAGTTGTTTCCATTTTTTCACTGTTAACAATATCCTTGCACTTGCATATACCTTATATGTTTGTTTAGTGTATTCTTCTAACAGTGAATAGTATTTTCAATTGAATATAATGAAGGTAGACCTAAGAATTGGAAAAATGGAGCAGGTACAGCCTTTCTAAAGCATGTGAAGAAAGGGAGAAACTAACTGAAAACTAAAAATACAAAGAATTGATATGGGTTAATTCACATTTTATGTATATCATTAACTAATGATCAGGAGAAAAATGGGCAAAAGACAGGGAGCAGTACTCAAAATATACAAATGGCCAGTAATATTTTTCATGGTCAGCCCTGATAGTAATACAAATAAAATCTAAAGAAAAATGACATGGCATTTTTTGTTACTGTATTTTGGGCAGTATTAAAAATACCAGCAATGCCAAAGGAATATGGGAAATGGGTTCTTTTATTTATTGGAATGTAAACTGGAACTATTTCTGGAGGAATAGAGTAGCACAAACAATTCAATTGTCTCTACAAAAGATGCTATATAGATTTCCCCCTAACTTTTCTATTATGACGTACCAAATTGTCACGCCATTCGAGCACCTGTAGGAAATAAGAGTTTAAAGAAACAAATGTTACAGACGAGTTCTAGAGTGCTCTAAGAAGCTGATTTAAAGAGAAGAGTAAGCCTCCACCTAAAGAGTGGCATGGGCTATTATATGCAAATAGTCTTATTTTTATTTATTTTTTGGGATGGAGTCTTCCTCGTCACCCAGACTGGAGTACAGTGGTACTGCAACCTCCACCTCCCTGGTTCAAGCGATTCTCATGCCTCAGCCTCATGAGTAGTTGGGCCTATAAGCACATGCCACCACAACTGGCTAATTTTTCTGTTTTTAATAGAGATGGTGTTTCACCATGTTGGCCAGGCTGGACTCAAGCTCCTGACCTCAGGTGACCAAAATGACCTCAGCCTACTAAAATGCGGGGATTAAAAGTGTGAGCTACCACGCCCAGCCCAGCCCCAGCCCCAGCAATGAGTTTTAGAACGTCTGATAGAAATAAACTCGTGCAGAAATAAATATTGCAAGAGATTGCTTACCCTTTTCTTTTCTTTTTTTAAAAAAGATGCTCCCATAATACTCTCAGATAGTGAAGAAGAAGAAATGATCATTTTGGAACCAGACAAGAATCCAAAGAAAATAAGGTAACACATTTCTGGTTTATTTCAAATGTGTATATATATATATTCAACACTTCTAGAGGTTTGCTCTCTGGTTTTACTCTCATCTTGCCACATGACTATAAACAAAAAGACGTCCCTTTTTCATTAGCGATCCATCTGTTCTGATTTCTTTACCTTGTGATTTATAAAAATTAGGACCAAAATCTATAGAACTCTTTGGATGCCAGTCTTACACATTTTATATCCTATTGGAAAACTAAGAAATGCCTCTTATTTCAATAATCCAAAACTTAACAAGCATACGCTTAGTAAATTCTTACTTTATTCACAGAACACAGACCACCAGTGCAAAACAAGAAAAAGCACCAAGTAAAAAGCCAGTGAAAAGAAGAAAAAAGAAGAGAGCTGCCAATTAAAGCTAACAGTTGTATATTTGTATATATAACTATTAAAAGGATATTTATTCCATTCTAAGAACCCTGGGTATTTTTTATTCACAAATCCATTATAAAATCTAGCAGGGTTTTAAAAATAGTTTTTTGTTTTTAATGTTATGCTTTAAAATAATAAACCTTCTGGAGCATTTCTCGTCTGTTAATTTGCACGTAAGCTTCCCACCCTCTTCCGCTCCCAGCCTCTGTTTAGTTTGCAGAACCTAAACAGGTTTTACAAAGAGTGAAAAAGTCTGTATTCAGATATGCTTAGATTATGCCCATCAGCAAATTGATCCAGTTGCTTAGGAAAATGAATGTTAGAATTTGAAGGTCTGTTTTCCTAAACCTACTTTAATTTTAGAGGAAGGTTTTCACTTCCCATTATGTAGTAAACCAAGTAAACTTTTTTAATTGAAATCCTGAAGAAGTTAAATTTGACTTGCGAAGTTTTCCAAATCAATTTATTATCCTGACAGCTGGCATCATTAATACTTTAACAAAACCACTTAAAATTAGCCAAATATCTAAGACAGATACATATACAAAAGATATACAAATTAAAACCATTTAAAAAGTAATAGATACCATAATTTGTACTTGGCCATAACTTCTGTATTCAGAAATGATTGTAAAATTAAAACCTAAGTTAAAAACTGTACACCATATACTTTGAGTGATTTACATCTTAGAAAACAAAGGCAGTCTTTCATTGTTACAGATTTAGTGTCTCTGGTGGGTTGAGGAGAGAAACACCATGATACCTGTAAGTAGAAAAAAAAAACAAAAACATTTTTAGTAAACAGTCACTGGGTAAAGGAGATCATGGAATAATGTTTGTACTCATGTATTGGGAACTAAAAAATGCTATTTCTCTCTGACCGAGTTGATGGTTTTAGAAACATTGGTCCCTGAAACACACATGCATGCCCCTCTTCCTTCTCTCTCCTCCCCCAGACCCAGGGCAGAAAGCATGAACTGCAACCTTCTTCAAACACATAATTAAGAGAACAGCTTCTTAAGGAGGCTATGGCAGATTCATGAATGAAGTTAAAATGTCAAAGATCTCTGAACCATAATCTAGAAAAGTAAGCTTCAATATTCAAGTTAATTCTTACTTTGAATTTTTGTACTTTTCTCTTATTGACTGTTGTGCATGCTGTGGAGCTTTGAGGTAGGTCTGGTGAAGGTCCATGAGACAAGGCTTAAGACTTTCCAGGGTATATCCAGTCTTTCGTATTAATGATTCAGGCTACAGAGAAGGGAATAGGAAGCCCTGAGTTGTGCTTTTAGTAACAGACACCAGTTAATAGTTAGCATTAAGCTTATGTTAAATTTCAGTACTAATCTTTAACTTTTCCAACAACTAGCTTTCTCAGGCCATTATTCCATCTCTCGATCCATTTTTTACTACTTTCTCTGCCAGCAACAGGTCAGATGCTTTTTAAAAAGCTCACCTTTCAATCCAAGTTACGACTAAGCTTACTACCTAACAAAAAGCTACTGTTCAACAGGTAACATGCCTTAAACAGTATATAATCATCCCTCAGTATCCATGAGGGATTGGTTCCAGGACCCTCCCCAAGTATACCCAAATCTGTACATATTCAAGTCCTGCAGTCACCCTTCCATATATATGGGTTTTGAATTCCCTGAATACTGTAGTTTCAATCCACATGTAATTGGAAAAAAATCCATGTGTAAGTGGACTCACACAGTTCAAACCTGTATTTTTCAAAGGTCAACTGTATATATTTGAAGTTTTTCCAAGTAAGAACATCTAGGCAACCCTCAGTTTTGTAGGACAATTATTATTTAATCTGGCATAGGCATTTCAGTCACAAGATAGGTGTGTGAAGACCGTAATACATACCCAGCTTTGTCCTGTGACTGTGTAGAGTGCTAAATGAAAGGCGGCTCCAGCAATAACTGATGGCAAATACTTTAGGTATGGGTCAGCATCTATCAAACTTAATTCTCCCAAAAACTGGAATAAAAAATACTTTATGATCACAAGAGCGTTTAGAATTCAAATGTCAAACCTCTGCCTTCTAACCTAATTTTTTCCTGCCTTTGATAATGGCTCTGTAGCAACCCTAGAAAAAAATATTTCACAGCCTCATCTTTAAACATATCAATCATTTTAGTGTTTTGTTCCATCCTCATCCTGTATTTTCCCTTCTTTATTAACTTTTAAAAAACAATTCTTCTGACTACCCATCCCCAAGATGTCATCCTTAGACCTCTGCTTCTAGTGCTTTCCTGATATAGATTATCTTTTGCCAGCAGCAGGCTTTCTTCCATACTGCAGCATTAATCTCCATCTGAATACTAAATCTCTTCACCATGCTGTACAAAGGAACTACGTTCCTGTACAAGGAATTAGGGCTTACATTACCTAAGAATTGCCATTCAACAAAATGAAAGTTAACTCACCATTGCTAAACTTTCAACTTTGCTGTTTGCAGGCTGCTGATGCAGAAAGTATTGGGTAAGAAACTGATTTACTGTTGGAGCAGCTAAGTCAAAAGTAAGGACTTTCAAAACTAGATGCTCCATTCTCAGAACTTGTTTCTTGGTGTAGGTATCATCTGTAATGTACACAAACTCTGCTACTTCTGGGGGGTATATTTCTTCAAACTTTCTACAATGAAAAAAGTTTTAAGTAATCAGTCCTAAAAGAGAAGCAAGCTTCCTTATCCCAATTCTGAAATCCCATTAGCAGAATATATGGAATGAATCCAAAATCCATACCAACTGCATTTCCAGACACTTGATCATCATTTCTAGTAAAGACTGGATAGCTAATTGCTAATTAAAAGGCCCAAATCAATAAAGGACTTTTGAGATTTTTTTCCCAGTTCAGTCAAAGGAAGTAAATGAAAGGCATGAGACTTCTCAAGATGGGAACAATGCCGGAGTTCACCAAGTAGCTGAAAATTTAGGAAATACAAATCTTAGGAAAACATGTTTCATGTTTTCATTTTTAAATTTAGTGTCTTTTTTTGAGACAGTCTTGCTCTCTTGCCCAGGCCAGAGTGCAGTGGTCCAATCTTAACTTACTGCAACCTCCCCGCTCCAGGTTCAAGCGATTCTCCTGCCTCAGCCTCCCCAGTAGCTGAGATTACAGGCATGTGTCACCATGCCCAGCTAATTTTTATATTTTCAGTAGAGACAGGGTTTCGCCATGATGACCAGGCTGGTCTCGAACTCCTGACCTCAAGTGATCCGCCCACCTTGGCCTCCCAAATTGCTGGGATTATAGGCGCAAGCCACCGCACCCAGCCTTTACTTCTTAATAAAAGAGACACTGCTTATATGCCAGAAAGTAATATTGGAAGGAAAATGTTTTAAAATTTCTAACCTAGTGCACTATATCATCTTCAAGGAATCCAGTTTGGGGAAAAACAGTGTTATAGATTAGAACACAGTTTCATCCTCCTCCACTTCCCCAACCCCACCACATTGCCATCCCTAAAGTAGTCACTGACTCTCTGCCTGGTGTATGTTACAAGGTCACCATTAAAAATCAATTTCTTCCCTAGACAAAAGATCGTGATCACTTTTAAACAAACCAAGGTAGACTTACGAGGCTAACAGCATAGCAGCAGTGCCCACAAGCTGAAGCTTTCCTCTCAGCACTGACATGGAAGAAAGGAACCTATCAATGTAGTTCACAGCCAAATGCAGGGTCTCATTCTGTAGTTTATATTCTTCTCCTACTTCAACTAACCAGTCCACGAGGATAGCTCTCATACTGTTAGTGATGTCTGGCTGTTTCTTCATGTAACCCACTTTAGGTTTACATTTAACCTATTGAGAAAAGTATTTAGTAGTGTTAAAATTGCAATTAGATTATTTTACAATTAAGAGAGGCTACATGCTATAAACTTAACTGTAGCATTAGAATAATTCATTAGTTTAAAAATTTAAACATTATCCTCTCAATTTCATTTAGCCACATTTAACAAATACATTACACAAACTGGATTCAGAGAACCTTTACCTCCATTTCCCTAAGGTATGTGTGAATATCCTCATGGTAGTCTGGTACTTCATTAACACTCACTGGCTTTTCATCTTCTAATACAATTGACATGTCCATAGTATGTGGTGACTCTGGGACAATTAAAAAGATATGATTAAATTAATTGTTTGTCTACTTAGTTTAATAGCTAAAAATGACTGCCCTTGTAAGGAATTTCATATTAACAAAGCACTTATTTCATCAAACTAAAAAGAGCTTCTCATGACGAAAAAGGTAGAATATTTTACCTTAGTCTCCGTATCTCTGTACATATAGCTTTGGAATGATTTTAGTTAATGAAGGGGGAAAGAAAACCATATTGGTAGGCCCCTAACAGGAAAACGAGAATCAGGTATTATCTTACAGTATCCATCTTCCACAACAGAAAGGAGCAGATGGCATGGTGGTTCTGTTAGGACAGAACACTTAAAATCCAAGTTTTGAGATAATATCTAAGGTTTGCCCTAAGAGAGACTGCAGATCCCAGAGTCTGACATATACAAAGCCCAAGTAGGCGATAGCTAGAATCAGTTAAATGGCCTCCATTAACAAGTGTTATTAAGAAATTAGGTTTGTTATGGGCAAATGGATTAACACTATAAATTATTTTTTGTAGTATAAATTATCTTTTGAAGCAAAGAGTATCATCCATTATTCTTTTCGCTTCAAAGATCACCTTGAGATTAAACATTTTCTGCAAAATTTTGATAAAAACACACAAATTATTATTTCCAAAGGACTTTTCCTGCTCACCCCTCCTTCCCCACGATTAATACAACTAAAAACTAAAATGAGACTGGATTTAGTGAGCTGTCCAGTGACTCGATATCCCTAGGGCAAAGAAACAGTACAAACTGCAAAGAGCTGTTTGCAGCAGCTACTTTAATACATGGGTAAGAGTAAACAGCTATGGTACAACTGTTTACTTGTAGGAGGAAAAGTGTCACTTTCTGGTATCAGATGATAATCCAGACTGGTTTTATAGAAACAAAATTATAAAACTGGAAGAGATGTTATGTAATCACAATATTTAAGACTGCATCTTCAAATATCACACTCTAAGTGATATATAAGTGAGTTAAATAAAACTGAAATCTATTCTCCCAACCAAGAACACATTTATGGGATCAGATTAAAATAAGCATTTAAGATCTAATTATAATTAGACTGATGTGACTGGCAGTGACCCTGAAAGAGCACTAGATTAGGATCCTTTTGTACATCACCAGGTCGAGTGTTAGCCGTGAGATCTGAGATAAGTCACATCCTTTCTAAGCCTTGTTACATTAAACCTAACTCACTGTAATCAAAATGATTACATAAGACATCTTAAAATGCAAATCATTAATCTCTAATAATTATAATTACCGTAAATTCATATAGATTTTCCTTAAAACTTACCAAAACTACCATCCATTGGATAATCAAGAGGGACCAATGGTTTTCTGGGTCCAGGTAAACTAATGGCTGAATTAAAAGCCAGGGCATCTTCACGCTCCGTTTTTTGAGATTCAGCTGGCTTCTTCTGAGTCTCTTTTTCTGCTTCATCCACATGAATGGTGAACGCAGGCTGTTTACTGTTTGCTTTCCAAGGAGGAACGGTGACATGCTCATCATTTACAGGAAGATCCTTAAGGGGTGCAACCTAAACAAAAATAAATAACTGGCTTTGAGCCTGCTAAATAGTTTTGCATTCTTTCTCTTATGGGTGTTGGCCTTTGCTTTTTCTCCCAAATACTCTATCAGGAATTAAACTTTCTGGGACAAACAATAGTTTGAGTATTCAAAAGAGAAGGGATGTTCCCATTTGTCACAGGCATTCCCACAAAGGCTATCAATAGATAACACTAGGTAGAATTATGCAAAACTAATCAGGGCCACAAGAAGGGTCGGGTGGCAAGTCAATACATGACAAGTTTAGGAAAGACAGGGCAAAAAAGTGTTGGTTCACCACTGTCGCCCGAGGGTGGAGCAACAGAGCAAATCCGGCTAAAATGGCGGAATTTGCCAAAAGCAAAGTTATTTCGTACACCCTTTTCTAAAGTAGAGGTTATCTCTTAACCGTGAGGAGGAAGGGGGTCAGAGTCCTACAGTAGTGCCTGGGGTTTAAAAGTGGAGAGAAAGGCGCGGAGCTGAGCGAAGACTACACGTTTTAGAGCTTGGTTTGACCCCATTATGTACAGGCAGATGCCACCTATAGAGAGCAGACAGGCAGCATACACACAGTGTTGGCGGGGTCCTGATGCTAATAATGGGAGGATTCCTATTGTGGCATCCCACACACCAGCACCAAGTGGACTCCAGACCCTGGCCCCCTTCCAAAAGCCCAGGACATGCCTTCTCGCCACTCTTCTCTGCCTGCTAAGCCAGTGCCAAACCCTGCTCGACCCACCCTCCTGCAGATATCCCGCATCCCTTTACCCGTCGCGTCTTCGGCCTCTGCTGCTGCGCTAGACCCCGCGGGTTCCCGGCCTTCAGTACCGCCAGCGCGGCCCGGGTCCGTGGTTGCTGGACGGGCGCTGCCTTTTCCGGGTTGATATTCTCCTGGTCCTCTTGGAGCGCAGTCTGCTGCAATGCTAGCAGCGCTGAGCCCGCCTCGCGGGTCGCAGGCCCCGGCGCGGAGTTGCCCAACATCACTGCTCCCGGGAGTGGACGGCGGGATCAGCCTGCGGCGCCAAGCAGCGTGCACTCTGCCCAGCCCACCCGGCCAAAGAACAGTCGTAGCCGCCGGTCGCAGCCCAGGCCAGCCTACCCGCCCGCCCGCTCACCCAGCTCGAGACCACGCAGGGTCGAGGAGGTTGCGAAAGGCGCAGGAAGGCACGGCCGGGCGTGGCGGGCCAAAGACACCCCGAGATGTAGCGAGCAGCCCGCCGGAGCGGCGGCTGTTCTTGCAGTTCAAGTATCCCGCGACTATTGAAATGGACCAATGAAAGCGCTCGCAGCCTTGACGTCATTCGAGGCGACAGGGTCGCAAGCGAGTGAAGGAAGCACCAAAGGAAACTGAGCAGGGGCGGGGCAGGAGGGAGAAACGAACTGGGGCTGGGGCGGGAGAAAACGCCTGCGCTGGTCGGGGAGAGGTAGGGGTACTCAGGGCCCGAGCTTCCGATTACTTTGAGCCACCTAGAGAGCGAGGCGGTCCAAAGACTGACTCTAAGCCTTTTAGGGAATTAAACGGAATTAAACTTTGGCGACTATCATTTGGGCTGCCCAGCCTTTAGCTCTGGGACCTCTAGTTAGCTCAAGTGACTTTTTCCCAAGGTCTAAAATCTGGACCACGTTTTTCAGTATCTCCGATTCTCCGTTTTCTTATTTGTTAATAGGGACTAATAACTACAGTCATACGGTTGTTAGGATTAAATAATGTGCATAAATTAACACAGAGCTCACATAGTAATACAGTACTGAAGTGTCAGACTGTAGTAATATCATCTTAACATTTAGGCATTTATTCATAGTAACCAGAAATTGTGTTTTATGCTTTTTATTTTTCCTAATGAAGATGCAATTAAGTGCCACCTTGAACTACTGTTGATATATATATAATAAATATACAATGCATTACAAAATATTCAAATAGAGTCATTAATTTTTATCTATTTTTCCCCAAGCTGTGGCAGCCAACAAAAAATACAATGACATTCTAGTGACCTAGATATAATTATGTTCCTTTCAGAAGTAAAGTTTCTTTAAATATAGTAAAAACAATACGATCTTATTAAAATAAAATTCTCTTAACTATATGTGCCTGTAACAAATTTTTATATTTATATACAAAGCTTGCACGTACCTAGTAAGTATAATAGCATATCATTAAGAAGCATTGTTTTCTAAAAAATTAGTGAGTCTGCCCTTCTTGAAACAAAGCTTATTTTCCATTATCTTTATGCCATTTTAAGACGTTTCAATATTTCTTTGAAATTAATAAATATGAATTAAGATTAATGTACAAAACTTCTGTAGCCTTAATGTCATATATGATAAAAAGAGATCATACTGGTGTAGGAAAATCTAAGATGGCATCACTATTTCTGCACTCTTCACTTGTAGCGTGCTTGAATAGCTCCACTGGTTACAGCATGTCTAGTTAAGATCCCCTGACTCTGTGTAAGCTCTTCTTATTTCCCTGACTACAATTTATAGCACTGAGCCAAGTCCAGCATTTCCACAAACTGCAGCAGAGTCATAAAACATCACCAAGCAAAAGGAAAATCAGTTGCAAATCAATCCTATCTCCTAGAAAAAATAATTGGTAGGTTACTTCCACTAGCTGGCAACATACATAGTAACCAGGACACAAAGCAAGTACCAGTACTTGGGTTCTGGTCCCAGCTTTATAAAATACTAGCATGTCCTCTTAATCACAAAATTTCACTGAGAATCAGTTTTCTTATATGATTTGACAAACTTATACAACAGTTGTTAAGATCAAATAAGGTAATACATAAAAATACATTTTGAAACCTATAAAGCAGTTTATATATTTATGTGTTTATGTACCTTGTAATACATTTGAATATATTTTCATTTTCCACATATTACTTCTCAATTTAAAAATTAAAACAGCCACTTATCAAAAATTCATTAAAATCCTATTTAAATCATTCTATTTGTGTTTTAAAAATAAAAACTCTTTTAGAAAGTTCAACTTGTCAAAAGAAACAGAAGCATTACTTTAAAAAGCCATTATATCTCAAATATTTTTAGATATAAAAAAGCAGTTGAAATTAAAGTATGTACACAGTTAACTTCTAATTCTGTTTTAACATTTTTCATTTAAACAGACCACTTCTTTGGGACTTTACCTTATTTGTATTTCATGCTGCATCAAAGAATGAAATCAATGCATTTTGGTCATAACTGTCCAGAATTTCCAATAGAAGGGGTACTTTAGTTTTTACATTGGTGCCTTTGAACTTAAATTTATCTATGAAAAGATCAGTGATCATGCCTATAAAGAAAAAACATAAATTTCCTGTCAGTGATTAGTTATATTTAATTACACAGTATTTCACTAAAGTAATTGCTTGATAATCTATTTTTAAGCACCTGTAATTCCATTATTTACATACACAAACCTAAAAGCCATGATGTTTTTAAAAATATTCATTTTGGGGGGATTTTAAAACAAGTTTCAAGATATAAATAGTTTGCCTAATAACCCTCTTAACAATTGATTACAAGCTATTAATTCAGACAATCAACTACTGGTCATTTTTGAACTGCTATCAGTATATATAACATCACAACAAGTGGTATCTTTTTTCCACCAAGCAGACCATTTTGACATAGTGTAGGCAGATTCTATTTTTAACAGCTTATCTGAATTAAAATATTCCATCTACATGTTGACCATTCTTGGGATTTGACTTGAAGGCAAATAGTCCTAAGTTCAAAGATCTGGGTAAATCATTTCGCCTTGAGTTTTCTCATATGTAAAATAGGAATTATTCAAGCTGTAAATCCTTTATCCAAAAAGCTTGATGCAAGATGTATTTCAGAATTTTTCCTATTTTAGGAAGATAATGAAAGGAATATACTATAGTATTAACCCCAAGGGGACTGAGTGGCAGCATTCAATAGCAAAACATAGTACTATTTCTGTCACAAAATATATGGATGAATATTTGCACTAAGTGGAATAAAAAAGATATAACTTCAGGCTGGGCACCGTGGCTCACTCCTGTAATCCCAGCACTTTGGGAGGCTAAGGTGGGCAGATCACGAAGTCAGGAGTTTAAAAGCAGCCTGGCCAATCTGGTGAAACCCCGTCTCTACTAAAAGTACAAAAAAATTAGCTGGGCATGGTGGCACGCACCTGTAATTCCAGCTACTCAGGAGGCTGAGGCAGGAAAATTGCTTGAACCCAGAGGGCAGAGGTGGCAGTGAGCCGAGATTGCACCACTGACTCCAGCCCGGGGACCAAGCAAGACTCTCTCTCAAAAAAAAAAAAAAAAAAGAAGAAGAAGAAAAAAGAAAACCTCCTGTCAGGTTAAGTCAAGTTTTGTTATTAAATTAATTCAGATTAAGTCAAGATTTTGCTGTCAAATTATTTATGAAAAAAACTTTGATTTACAAAGCTGTCTGGATTTTGCAATCAGTGATGTTATGTACAGCCAATCTCATAAGTTATTACAAGGATAAAAGAGATCATGTGCTTGCCATGTAATAAAGGTTAAGACATTAAATACAGCCACAGTTTGCGAGAAAGTCTCTGGATATGTAATAAGAAATTCAGTAGGCAGGTTTAAGGATCAGTGTGGACTAATGATACCAATTGGCTCTACAGTGACTATGGAAGACTTGGCATAGTGTAAAAGGCATGCATTTTGGAGTGAGAAGATTCTAATACAGGCATTATCACTAGCTTGCTAGGTGACAACAAATTCCTTAGACTCAGATTTCAGTTAAAGTGTATGAAAAATGAAGATAATACCACTTAACGTTGCAGAGCTATTGTAAGGATTAAATATCTCACCTGATTATGAAGACAGTGTAAATAGTGTGCTATATACAACAGGTCTTATGTAAAGATTGCTAATAAAATTGTCTTAAGCTGTTTCTTCCTTCCTCACTCCTTCTTTCCCTCCCCTCACCTCCTTTACTCTGTTTCAGTACAATTTGTGAAACATTCAACTTCTCACCACCAAAGTAAGTTTGGAATTGTAAATTGACACCACACGAATACTGTATATCCTTTATTAAATTTTGCCTTCAAATTTTTAAATGCTGCATTTTTATATTTCACAATAGCAACAAAACATGACAAATATTTATGTGAAATACAGTCTAAGCGCTAAAGGTTCACAGATTACATTCATTTTATACCAGGTTTGTTCATATATATAGATTAACTCATCACGGTATACTTATTTCTTAATATACTTGTATTTTATCAAGTAAAAGAATTAAATATTAAAAGTGGCTTGACAAAAGACAGAAATATCCTGTGCAATAAATTGGTTGTCAACCAATTTACTGATTCATGACTGGTTCATGAATCATGACTGATGTAATCTTTTTATCTTTCTGCCCAGCTTCTCTTATATGATCCTTGGGAAATAGCCAGTTGAAAAGAAATATGTTAAGGTATTCTAGAATGGTCCACTAACCATAGAGTCTTTCAAGATGTGCAGGTTGCTTTTTGTATTCTTCCTGTAGGTGATCTGCCTCTTCTAGAATACAGCGATATTCTGGTATCAAAAAGTTCATATTTCCCTCATGAATCTGCAATTCCTTATTTAAAATTAAAAACAGAAGCACCTTAATATTCAAAATTCAATCCAATGTAATGTTAAAGTAACGATAATTTTAGAAATCCTGTGACTTAAAATAATAATCACCAGTCCACGACAACACATGTACTTACTTTTAAAGCATCAATTAACTGCACTTTCTTAGCCAAAAGCAACTGGTACTCCAGCTTTGGGTGGATTAGCTTTAAAGTGTGTTGGACTGATACTTCATTTATCTCTAGAAGGAGGTGACCGGATGCAGTTAGATAAATCACTTTGATCAGAAACATTAATAATGTAACAACAACACAAAATAAACATCAGAAAGAATTATTAATTTTGTTTGTTTCTTTACCGTATGATATGTTGAGGTTAATTTTCCTTTTTGTAGCTTCTTTAGAAAGCACATCTTTTAGGATGGAGATAGTAGAAATGTTGTCAGATTTAAAAACTCCCTCTCCTTTTCTATAAAATTAATATATTTTTTAAAAGAATAGCTGTAGAAGGAAATTGTCCAGTACATATATATTTTATGATTAGTACTTAGTGTATAGATTTCATTTGACTGTAGATTTCTTTTGTATACATATATCATTAAAGCAAATTTAAACATGTAATCCTTTACTATTATATTAATTCAGCTTCTGAATATACTCGTAAAACTAAACAAAAGATATATGCCTCCTAAAGATGTGACAATTTGTATAAAAACTTCATTTAGAACAACTTTTACCTTCACTTTTCACTAATATTTCCAACAGCCAACCTCATATATATACATATATAAAACGCACTTAGAATTGCTTACTTACATAAGTGTGTTTTTCTTTCATGTAATCATACAAATTACAATGTGACTATATGCTTTATCCTTAAAAGAAATCTGATATCAAATATGTAAGAATGAAATCTGCTGTTTTTCATGCTCAGCATCCAATGCCACTGCTTATGGTCAGAGGACCGTTATTTTTCTTTTCTTTTTTTGAGACAGACTCTCATTCTGTTGCCAGGCTGGAATGCAGGGGCGCGATCTCGACTGACTGCAATCTCCACCTCCTGGGTTCAAGCGATTCTCCTGCCTCAGCCTCCCAAGTAGCTGGGATTACAGGCAGGCGCCACTACACCCAGCTAATTTTTTTATATTTTTAGTAGCGATGGCATCTCACCATGTTGGCCAGGATGGTTTCGATCTCCAGAACTTGTGATCTGCCCGCCTTGGCCTCCCAAAGTGCTGGGATTACAGGCATGAGCCACCACGCCCGGCCAGGATCGTTATTTTTCTTTAGGGTACCACTCCTCTTTCTCTTGCCCTCTTCAGTCCATATAGTTTCAGTGGCATTGGTCTCAATCTATTTATGGGACTTCAGGAGGAAGCATTGAGCAGTACATTCCATACCCCTGACCACAGTGGTTCATGGCTTGACAGTGATACTCAATCCTGGGATTTTTACTGGAGCTAGTGGGCAAGAGAAGTTCTATAGCAGCTGAAAATATATACAACTGGATTCCAGGAACTGCTGGTGGCCATAACACTGCATGGTAAAGCCAAGAAAAGATAAAAGCAGAACTGAACATGGGATAAAATCTTGATGACATCAATTAAGCCACTGATCCAGTTGTGCATGAGGCAGATTATTGCTAGACTTTTGAGTTATGTGAGATGATAAATTTATTTTATTTGGTTAAGTTGCTTGCATTTGGTTCCTTTTTACGATGACCAAGTTTCCTAATTAATATATATCATCTTTCATATAGTTAATGCCTTTTCATTTGGTTTTCACACACACACAAATGATGTATGCCAACTAGCTATATGCAAATGATAATTGCTTTGGCCTGGTGTAGTGGCTCACGCCTGTAATCCCAGCACTTTGGGAGGCCAAGGCAAGCAGATCACTTGAGGTCAGGAGTTCAAGACCTCATGTTGGCCATGGTGAGACCCGTCTCTACTGAAAATACAAAAATTAGCCAGGCGTGGTAGCACACTCCTAAAATTCCAGCTGCTCAGGAGGCTAAGTCATGAGAACCACTTGAGCCTGGGAGGAGGAGGTTGCAGTGAGCCGAGATTGCGACACTGCACTCCAGCCCGGGCTGATGAGTAAGACCCTGTCTCAAAACAAACAAAAAAAAAGATAATTTTTTTTTTTCTAGAAATGAATAATACACTTACTACTTTGATCTCAATTGTGTTTTAGAAATCATGACATTTCTATTAGTCTTTAATCTTAACAGATGATCTTTAGTAAACACATAGTGCCAGGTACTATAGAATGACTCAAATGGTTATCTTCTTTTAATCATCATAACAATTCAATAAAGTAAGTGCTATTATTTTCATTCTTCAGAAAAGAAAACTGAAGCTCAGAGAGTTAAGCAACCAGCTAGGGTCACATAGCTGGTAAGTCACAGAGCCAGGATTCAAATCTAAGTACATCTGCCTGCAAAGCACATAAGTCTACACTACCTCCATACACATATATTTTATTCAGGCATCTGAAAAACATCTGTTGAGCATCTATTATGTGCAAAACTATGTTTTAGGTCCTTGGAGGCTACATACAAAAATATTTAAAATTAGATTGTCCACAAAAATAAAGTTTAACATAGAGAAATAAATTTATATAAAAATTATTAGGGGCCAGGCGTGGTGGCTCATGCCTGTAATCCCAGACTTTGGGAGGCCAAGGCAGGCAGATCATGAGGTCAAGAGATCGAGACCATCCTGGCCAACATGGTGAAACCCTATCTCTACTAAAAATACAAAAATTAGCTGGGCATGGTGGCACATGCCTGTAGTCCCAACTACTCGGGAGGCTGAGGCAGGAGAATCACTTGAACCCAGGAAGTGGAGGTTGCAGTGAGCCAAGATCGCGCCACGGCACTCCAACCTGGTGACAGAGCGAGACTCTGTCTCAAAAAATATATAATAAAAAATAAAAAATAATTATATACTTTAAGCAGATAACAATAAATATCACAGACAAGTAAGAAAAAAATGCTATGGAAACAGAGAAGAGAATCAAGGAAGGCTTCAAAAATGTAGCTACTGCTGGGTACGGTAGCTTGCACCTATAATCCCAGCTACTGAGGAGGCTGAGGCAGGAGGATTACTTGAAGCCAGGAGTTTGAGACCAGCTTGGGCAACACAGTGTGACCCTGTTTCTTAAAAAAAAAAAAAAAAAAATAGCTATTAAGCTGGACCTTAAAGGATAAACAGTTTTGAATCTTAAGAAAAAATATTCAAAGCCACAGAATGATAAAGAGCAAAGGTGTGCTATTATAAAAGTATATAATATGCTAGGGGCATATTGAATTGTCTGCTATGATTAATGTGTGAGGTTCACTGTGGTACTTCAAAATGGGAGTAATTATTACAGGTTTAGACACAGATAAGCTTCCTTGGACGGTATAGTGAAAAACCTCCATAGAATGGATGTTAAAACCAATTAGATTTCTGAAGAGTTCTTGGTTCTAAAAGGCTGAATTCTGAGGTAAAATTATGTTTTTAGAACAATACCATTATTATTTTAAAATAACAAGAGAAGCAAAAGGTATTCTACTTCTTGCTCCTGAGTTGAGAGAACTTAGGAGAATACCACAATTATCTGCTTAGGGAAAGACCCTTAAGAGGCCAGAGAAAGAATAATGAGCTCTCTCCCAGACAACACAAAGCAAAACAAAAACAAAAACAAAAACACACACACAGAAAACAAAAACAACCTACAGGCCAGGTGTGGTGGCTCACACCTATAATCCCAGCACTTTGGGAGGCCAAGGCAGGAGGATTGCTTGAGCTCAGGAGTTTGAGACCAGCTTGACCAACATGGTGAAACCCTGTCTCTACAGAAAATAAAAAAATTAGCTGGGCATGTTGGTGAATGCCTGTGGTCCCAGCTACTCAGGAGGCTGAGGTGGCTGGATCACTTGAGCCTGGGAGGTCGAGGCTGCAGTAAGCCAAGATCATGCCACTGCACTCTAACCTGGGTGACAGAATGAGAGCCTGTCTCAAAACAAACAAAAGGAACAAACAAAAAACAACCTACAGATGTCAGAAAGAATGAAAAAGGAAAGACTCTGAAGAAGCAGGAGGATCCAAGCTCAATGGGTAGATGTAGAGAAATTAGCCTTGCCCAAGAAGTAGGCCATTTCACATTCAGAGACAGGTTAAAAAAAAAAAAAGGAAAAGTTTAGCTTCTACTATATTGAGAAGTTGAGAGGAATTATTGGAACTTATAGAAGATGAGTTAGAGGTAATGGTGGAGGAGCGACGGGTGTAACTAGAAGCTTGAGAAGAGTGTAACACAATATAATGACCTCCAAACTGTATCAGAATAGCTGCCAAAAGCCTGCATTTTCTAAGCCCTAAACTTCTAAGCCATGTTATATTTGTGCATAAAGAAATTCAACTGGAGTTTTTATTGGAATTAGGATAAATATTCAAATCAATTTGGGTAGGACTGTCGTCTTTTACAATGTCTTCATATTGATGACTATAGAATATATTACTCCATTTAATCAAGTCATTTATGTTAATAAAATCTTACAGTTTTCGTCATGTAACTTCTACATATTTCTGATTAAGAATATTCCTACAGATTTTATCTGGCTATTTTGTTATTGTTATTGCTACTCTGAAAGGGTCTTTTAAAATAATTTATTTTCTCACTAGTTATTGTTATTGTTGGGAACTTAAGAAATGTGTTGATCTTTGCATATACATCTTTACTCAATCACTTTTCCAAACTTACTAATTTGATTTGTTTTTCAATAGATTATCTTGAACAGTATAGATTTTCAATCAGATTACTCACAAATAACTTCTAACTTAAAGGAAAACTTAGAAGCTACATTTATATAAAATGACACTTGTGAACCAGTAATAAGTTTGATTTACCTGTAGATACTTTCAAGTTGTGTATCTAGAAAGGTGTTCTGAAAGTAAAATGTCACACATTCTCCTGCTGGAGGTTTTTCTGGAACTTCAGGCAGACAAAAAACCACCCAGGAGTGAACTTCAGCAAAACTGAACTGGCCTGTTAGAGTCAGTGTATTCATGGGTCTGTAATACAATAGTAGAGGCATATATTTATGTGTGGGAATACATGAAGGTATTATCTGTACACATTAATAAGCAGAATTTTGTAATATTTGTTAAACAAATATAAATGAAAACATTCAATTTTCTCAGATTAATCTTATACGTAAAATAAATGAACATTTCAATTTCATGAAAAAAAATCGAACACTTACCTATACCTGCACCTGTGCTAAGTATCAGTTAACTGATGTATGTAAACAGGTTTTATTCATTATAACATGTTTTCAAATAAAATTCCATTTATTTGGGAATATTTCATCTTTAAAAAGTTTTTATTTTTTTATTTTTATAGAGATGAGGTCTTACTATGTTGCCCAGGCTGGTCTCGAACTCTAGGGCTCAAGCAATCCACCTCCCTCGGCTTCCCAAAGTGCTCAGATTACAGGTGTGAGCCACCATACCCAGCCCTCATTTTAAAAAAGCTTATCTAGTATTTCTACTACGTAAACTACAAAACATACTTATACAAGAATCTCCTTAGGGAAATAATCAGTATAGTGTGAAGGCAAAGAATTGGGCTTTTGAGTAAGACAGGCATGGGTTGTTCCATTATTTACTAGCTCTGTGCCATTGGACAACTTACAGAATAATACCTTCTATCTTCCCGAAATATGGAATCATACTTTCTATCTTGCAAAAGCACACACTAAAGTAACATAAAAAAACTGTAAAATAAATCAAATTTAAAATAAATCAGATGGATAATTATAAAGAGTTAAGAAAATGCAATTTATGAAATGAAAAGTTCAGACCAATCCTCTCATTTGCAGATGAAAAAACTAAAACCTAGAGACTAAATTAAATTATACCCCCAAAGTCAGACAGGAACAGATTGTAATCCAAGTCTCTTGATTACCAATTTGCTGTTCTTTCTAGCACACCATGCCGCCTCCATTAATACAACCTTGACTTTTAATGTTTTCCAAAAATCTTCGTTAGGAATAGTCTGCCTTACATCTTCTTTAAATTATATATTTTAAATTATAGGCAGCAATACAAAGAACATGGGTTTTGGCTTAAATTCATAGCTTTAGTCCCTTTATGAGCAAGTTACTTACTTTTCTAAGCCTCCATTTCTCATTTATAAAATGGAGACATTATTACCTGTCTTGCTATAAGATTTAAATACTTCATAAGCTCCCAGCATAATACATGGCACAAAGAAAGTAATCAGTAACTGTTCCTCTCTTTCCCTTCTCTTTAAGCCCATGTTCTGAAAAACTACAAAAAGGTGGATGCCTAAGTTGGCATGGAAATAAAAGGCACTATCACAACCAATTGCTTTATCAGTATTCCCTAAGAAGAAATATAAAGGAAATATAATATTTGAGGCTAATACAATGAGGTCCTATTCACAGAGAACTATTATACTATCTAAAGGTTAAATGGGGGGGGGGGGGCGTGCCCAAGATGGCCAAATAGGAGCAGCTCCAGCCTCCAGCTCCCAGCGTGAGCGACACAGAAGACGGGTGATTTCTGCATTTTCAACTGAGGTACCGGGTTCATCTCACTGGGGCGTGTCGGACAGTTGGCGCTGGTCTGCGGGTGCAGCCTGACCAGTGAGAGCTGAAGCAGGGAGAGGCATCGCCTCACCTGGGAAGTGCAAGGGGGAAGGGAATTCCTTTTCCTTGCCAAAGGATATTGAGACACACAACACCTGGAAAATCGAGTAACTCCCACCCTAATACTGCACTTTACCAAGGGTCTTAGCAAACGGCACACCAGGATATTATATCCCACACCTGGCCCAGAGGGTCCTATGCCCATGGAGCCTCCCTCATTGCTAGCACAGCAGTCTGAGATCTAACTGCAAGGTGGCAGCAAGGCTGGGGGAGAGGTACCCGCCATTGCTGAGGCTTAAGTAGGTAAGCAAAGCTGCCGGGAAGCTTGAATTGGGTGGAGCCCACCACAGCTCAAGGATGCCAGCCTGCCTCTGTAGAATCCTCTTCTGGGGACAGGGCATAGCTAAACAAAAAGCAGCAGAAACCTCGGCAGAGGTAAATGGCCCTCACTGACAACTTTGAAGAGAGCAGTGGATCTCTCAGCACGGAGGTTGAGATCTGAGAATGGACAGACTGCCTGCTCAAGTGGGTCCCTGAACCCTGAGTAGCCTAACTGGGAGACATCCCCCACGAGGTGCAGACCAACACCTCACACCTCACACGGCAGGGTACACCCCTGAGACGAAGCTTCCAGAGCAAGAATCAGACAGCAACACTCGCTGCTCAGCAAGATTCTATCTTCTGCAGCCTCCACTGCTGATACCCAGGCAAAGAGGGTCTGGAATGGACCTCAAGCAAACTCCAACAGACCTACAGCTGAGGGTCCTGACTGTTAGAAGGAAAACTAACAAACAGAAAGGACACCCACACCAAAATCCCATCAGTACATCACCATCATCAAAGACCAAAGGCAGATAAAACCACAAAGATGGGGAAAAAGCAGGGCAGAAAAGCTGGAAATTCAAAAAATCA